CATAAGAATGTGACTTATTAAATTAAAAAGTCTTTGAAAATATAGATAATTGATTAAAACTAAATAAATAAAAAAGTAAAACCTAATAATTTATTTTAGAATATTAACTATATTAGGTATAACATTTTTATATCATTAACGCCAATTGTCGCAGCGCACAACTCAGCGGAACAGCACTGAACTCTACCAATATAGCATTTATATGAGAAAAGCATATTTTATCCTCATTTTATACTTGTTTGCCGCGAAAGCTAAATGAAGGATGAGTACCTACGAGTCTCAATACCAAATCGTTGTTTTCTATGGACAGTAGCCGATGAAATTAGTTCCTTATCGTGCCTTCCAAAGCACGTAGAACCTCGTGATAGTAAATTCTTGGTCATCAATCCTATGACCAGCCTACAAAAATAGCTTAACATTTGCAGTCCGAACTTGCAAAACACTACCCATAGGAGCTCCTCAAATTCTTCCTAGTTTACAAAGTTTTTTATAGGTAGAGTCATCACGCGGACATATTAAATGGTTTAATATTGCATGATATATTTCATAGTAGAATGGCACCTTAAAGAATAAAATTAAATTATTATGCAATTACAATAGACATGAAAAATAAATAAACAAAACAACCATGGGCGGCGGTAATCACTCACCATCAGGTGATCCGTCTGCTCGATTGCCCCTATTCCATAAAAAAAAACATAGGTACTTCAATGGTTGCATAGTATAAAATGAATATCATTAATTCGCGGCTCTGATATCTAGATCTATTTTTACTGTTACAACATTGATTACTATGTACAATACATTTAAGACCCACGCGAAAATTCAGCAAAATAATACTTACTTATCGATGAGTTAGTTAGTTAATTACCTACTTACTTTATACTATACTTATAAGGAAAAGAAAAATAAAATTATTCAGTATTCTTTTTGTGATTGTAGAACGGAGCATCAACCGTGGGTTCTCATCTCACCCAATAAATTTTTGGTCTGAACATGGCAAAAGATTTGATTTTGGCCACTATCCCTTTGTGCCATTTGGCACATCCAAGTGTTGAAATTAACGCATAGCTAAATGCATTGTTTTACCGTAAACTGTCATCGCAACTCTTGAAATGGCAAAAACAGGGTCATCTGCCCTACATTAGTTAGCAAGTAGAATAGAACACCTCCTCAGTGATTTGCTTTAAGTACAAAATACCTTGGTAGTCATAAATAAACACCGAACCTATCTCAACTGAGTTCTTCAAGATGAGCCGTTATCGATCCTACATTCATTAAAAATCAATAAAAAATAGTGTTCAATATAACATTATGACATAACAGAATATTGGTATTGAATTTTTCAGTTATGATTAATAGTATAATGATTGGTATTTTAATTTAAAAATCGATTTAATATAGAACAATATGATGACAATTCAAAACAAATTATTTGATATTAAAAATAGTTAAATATTTTGTTTTACGTAAATTGATAGTTTTTCTTTCTATTAAAGGTAGAGTTGTTACACTGGAATTTAGATTTTACATAAAAGAAGTTGAGAATAATAGAACAGGGAACAATTTTGTAGGTTTCCGATCTTCTAATTTTCTGCGTCTATTAAATAAATGTTTTTAATCATAAACGGTGTCATGGTGGAAACTAGCGATCTACGTAAACAGTGTAACAATATCATTTAACTGTTATAGTGTTACTTGTGTTTATAAATTGTTCAAGTTAACGAGTTAATTATGTGAATAATAGTAAGTGCTGCTCCGGACACATACAGCGACGCGTGTGGTCAATTTGTTGTTGCGTGTCCGACTGACGGTTTTGTACTTGTGTCACCTATAATGTAGTTACGTGCGCATTTTATTACTAAGTACCTGACCTCTTTAGATTGCGGTATTCATTACCAACCTATTAATGTCCCCAATGTTAGGGCATAGAAGTTCCCTCTAATCGAATAAGAAGAATGGGTCATACATGACCTACCACTTCGTCCGAGTGTAGATTAATGGACGTCAAAGACTTAGCGTGCATTCCGAAAAACGGAGGATCTAGAGATAATATTTTTTGGTCATTTGACTAGCCATTGTGTAAATTGCTTAGCTTAACCACTGCGCAATTGAGCTCCTTATACATAATATAAACCAATAGAAATATCGGCATGATAGTAATCTCTTTCCATCGCAATCCAATTAATATCAACAGCATAGCAAAATCATAAGATTCACGGCAGTCGTCCCAAATGCATTACAAGGATAACGGATTGTTTTAGAAAAAACAACGGGATGATAAAACCTGCATATAATATGTATATGCAATATGCATTTATGAAGTTGCGCTCTTTCCCTTTTGTCGATGTAGGTTTTATTTCACTTAGCTTTGGCTAATGCGTGTTATTTACGCTCAAGTGCTGAGATCGATGCGTAGAGTCTACTTTATGGTGATTACGAAACAATTTACTCGTTATCGCTTAAGGCCCAAGTTTAAAAGGCAAGAGAAAAGTAGAAAGTTAATACACTCGACGACATTTTTAAATAAATATTTTAAATTTGTAAACATATCTATGTTAAATATGTATAAAATGCTAAAAAATTATATTGATACATTCACAATATGGCGTTTCTATATTCCTAGGCGCTTTGTTATTATATATATTTAGACATACAAACATCGCCAGTCTGTAATGCAACTAGAATTTTTATAATCTTACTCGACAGATTATAAACTGATAATGTATATTTATTTTCGTTTATATATAAACCAAAAAACAGAACGATTCAAATTCATGTAATTAATCTGCTAACCATAACAATTTATTCATATTATTATTGTTCTTTTGTTTATAAGAGTCAATAAATTCAGGATTACAAAGTTAAGTATTTTTTAAACAATTTAGTGAAATTCAGATATGTTAAACTAGATATGCTAGAAAATTGTAATCGATAATATCACAACACTATACGTCAAAGGCACTCATTACAGACGGCCACTCACCGCGAGGATATAGGCAAATTGCACAAGCCGCTTCATTCACAGCTTTTTAACGAGAATTAGCGCACTTATCGATACCTCCACACTTATCGACTACGGTGCATATCTATTTTATACTCCCGAGACAAGATGAAATTGTGCGATTGCAATATCATTAATAAGAGGAAGCGATTAGCGAACGAGATAGGAGTTAAGCTAATAAATTATTTATAATCGTTCAATTAGAAAGTAATGAACCATAGACACTCAAGTCCATTATTTTAATGAGGTTATTGTATCATCGGAGGTAAATAGCATAACATTAATTATAATAAGGTGAAAAACATTCCATACTTTATTTTATAGGTCACATGAGTCTTGTCTTAAATTTAGGTTATTAAATCGTCATAGGTTCTATTATCTATTATAGCTTTTCATATATATACAATATATATATATATGAAAATAACTAATGAAATATATGTGAGAAGCTTTGAACAACAATCGAAGGTGTGAAGTCAATTTTGACATTTGTGTTGTATTAGAAACTAGCTTAACGTATATCTGTAGTTTTAGATTGTTGGTAAGATTATTATTTTTAAGTAGATACCATTTTTATTGTGACATTTCTATACTCAATTTCATTGTATAATTATTCAGCATTCAATTTGAGTTTATAATTAAAGTAGACATTATAATTAAGGTCCAATTTGTCCGAGCCTTATCAATATATTGGTCACAACTTGTAGATAAGTTGAGCGGCGCCTGCGCACCTTATGTCGACCGCCGCAGGCGCCGGTCTCAGCTTATAATACTCCTCGATACCGACACCGCTGATACTTGATCGATTCAACTGACACTTTCCTACTTTGTGGATTACGCATTATATTGGACAGCTTCTCGATGGGTAATTGTAGTTGTAAATTGATTATGCCCAATTATGACAATTATAGCACACTAATAACAGCAACAATTACAATTCAATTGTAGCTAGGTTGCTCATTGTACTTAAAAACACAACTTGTTAGCATATAGTAATAAAAACTCAGCGCATCACTCTCTCATGCAGCATAGTTTATAACTTAATAAATCCGCCCTAACCACGATGTATTAGTTACGAACGGACCGCCTCTAATTGATTACAAATAAATGTTCATTGATATAAATATTGCAACCATGTTTATGATGTATAATGAATGCTTTTGAATTCGTGTTTTATACATAAAATTTTACAAAAGATAAATATTTAAATATGGAAGTACTCTTCTGATTAAGCATTCCAACCCATCAACTTTTGCTCTATATTATACTAGCCATTTTTTTTTTCAATTTTTAATATTAGCCTATATTACAAATAATTTAGCTATAGACTTGGGTCTACTGGTAGTTTCGAGATCTATTCAATGGAAAAAACAATCAAATCTTTCCTGTTTATAGCATTAGTTTAGGTAAACAAAAAATCAACTGTTGCCCATTTTGAAAATTAGAATAAATAGTATTACGAATGTTCTATAAACCCGTTATTTGTGTAAAAGTAAAATATCCTAAAGTTCAGTTACAAGCGCCGAGTGCTATGATTCTCGTTGTTTTATGAGTTGTCGTGTAAATCTCCTCAGCTTAGCCGTAGAAGTCTAGACAGTTGTGAATTACCCGAGCAAAAGCTTTAACCTATTAAAGTACTTACTCTTAAGTTTGCTCACTGACATTGATGTTTACGTTTCCTTTATGTAAAAGAAAAGCATAAAACATATACCCATAGCTGTAGAAATAATACCGTATTTACAGACACTAGACGTTACATATTTTTTAATGGCTTAATCACGTGTGTTTTAGGACAAGATCCTGTAAAGGTTCGGAAACGTCTAAAAAATTTAATATTTTTTGTAAGGTGTTTTTCCGTGACTTCACCCGTGAAAGAATTTTCATGATTGGATCAATATTTTCAAAGATTGCACCTACAGACAAGCAAAGTATAGATTTGATATTGATAGAGATCTTTTTTATGTTACTTATAGATGTATTTGTTCTGTTGTTACAGCGATACTTCAGCGTGCGACATACAGGCAGGTCGGCCTCCTGACGATCCAGGGGGTTGCTACCTGCATGTACCTATGTATGGACGCCTGTGGTTTCCACTATGCAAATGTAAGTACAACTCTGTCGTTGTTTTCATAAAAATCCATCAGCGTCTGTATAACTCGTATGAATCCACATGACACCTGACGCGAATTATTCCGTTTGCCCTCGACCAAAAATTCGTTAAATATCAAATCGTTCTTACAATTTTGTTAATATCATTCCCGTAAAGAGTTATCAGAGGCAGTGTAAGATCCTACCGCCGCCGTTACATCATAAATGATCGCAAAATGAGTTTCTCTAAAGGCGATATAAGCATTTTGAACATAGACGTTTCGTTTTCGGTGAAATATAATAGTCACAACATCACATACTTACATTGCTCGCATTTTGTGATTGTTTGATGAGAATCGAAAGCAATGAAGGTAACACCACACCCAGATCGGAAATAATATAGAAAGTTAATCTTTTCTATAGACCCAATCGAGAATCAAACCGAAGTTCAGAGATGGCGACACCACAAAACCGACGTACGAGCAACTCGACTAAGAAATTTGCCATTATCTTTTCAGTTTTTCGTAAAAAGTTCAATTAATTTTATTTTAAACTTGGTTTCCGCCAGCGGCTTCACCCGCGTGGTCCTGTATTATACATAAACTTTCAGAGTGATTACTCTGTATATTGATGAAAACCGTATTAAAATTCGTTTAGTAGTTTAAACGATTTCAGAATACAGACAGCGGGATACGAATTTATTGTATACTATGTATAGATAAAGGAGGTGAACATCAAGGTGGAAACACATTTATATCGAAACGATCGTTTTGTATTCCTGTTGTTGCTGTCGTATGTTGTTCACACATTAGTATAATTCAGATCAGATATAAATATTTCTATCGCGACCTAATACAACATACAAACTATGTCTCTAACCAAAATAAATTATTCTTTCGCGACAGAACACAACTCAAAAGTGTGTTTCCGCCTATAGATTCGTCATATTAGTCAAAATGCCGCTTAGGTAACTTTCCACCTCACGTAACGAATGAGTAGCACTCGTCCAAATAACATGATAGAATATAAATGTTTTGCATTTGACCCCTGGGTGAACGAATATCATATCTTCACCGTTAGTTAAAATACAAGTTAAATCGCATTTTACGTTGATACAGCGTGTAAATGATAGAATAAAAAAACGTGTACAAAATCCGTTAATGATTTCAGTAACAGGGTTATTGATTTTTTTCTTAATTTAAAACGAAAGTAAGCTAAATTAAAAAATATTTATTTTTCGGAAATAATTCCAAACATAAGAACATTTTTGTTTTAATTTTGGCGTTAAAAGGATCACCCATTAATGTTCACCATATTATGAAGACAATCTTTTGTAAATTTAATTTAAACAACGTTTACAAATATTTCACAATTGAGACTCACGAGATTTAACAATGACACAGTTTGAAGTCACAAGAAGTGCAGCTCAAAAATAGTGATTTTATTTTGCAATAAAATAATTTATTTTGAACATAATTTAGAATGTAAATTTCATATGAGATTATTTGATCACTGTAAATAACCCTGTATTGTACGCTAAAATAAATATTAGATATCAGAATATCATTTTTCCAAATGAGATATTAGAATATTTCACATCGGTGCATCCTTTTTTTTTCTCAAAAAAGTCATCAGTAGCAGAATAAATTTCTATTGATAATTAAAAAATATGGTAATGGCGCCAATCAACTTTGACAGCTGAACGTTTTTGTTAAATCATAGTTGAATTCTAATATAGATTATATGATATAGCTTTTTTTTTTTAAAAAGAAAGAAACGTTTAAAAGTTAAGATGGGATGGCATGACATGGGAACAAACGTTTTAAATATTGCTAGCAATCAATTTAAGAACTTATATTATACTAAATCACTTAAGCTTGAGTCCAAATTGAACAAAATAAAAAAACTCTAGATGGCTTAGGAAACAATATACTTACTTTGTCAAAAACGATTGAGTGTTTCAGTACAAGGAAAATCTATAAAGTTATTTCTTGGTAACTTTATTGTAGCCGATTTAAGGATAATCTAATAGAAATGCCCATGTTCGCAATAAGTTATGGTATTGATGTGAACAGTTTCTTAATAAATCGCTTTATAGTATTTTTGTCAAAGTTATCACTTTACTGTGATATAGTGTCAATGATTTACACTTATTTTACTAAGCCATTATTGTAAATACATATTGTATTTACTAGATCAAACTATGGAATGTCTGCCACAATAGTTTCATCAATGATCCAGACTTTCTCTTCGAGTACAGGATGTCGATGCATCATATATTGATCGATAGATCATCCGCAAAAGATCATGTAAGTGGCTTCATTCATAAAATCATAAATAACGTCACACAATAAAAATATTTTATTATATCATAAAAACATAATGAACTTACTATCTTACCTTAATTCAACTCTATTTGTAATGTAATAGAGATGAAAATGACAGTTGATAATAATGCCGGCGAATATAGACAGCTGTTTCACTTAAACAACTTTATTGTATACGATATGGGGTTGAAAATCCTAATAGTTATTTTTTTCTTTTTTATCTATAAAACAACCATTGTAAATTGAAATGTTTGACATGTTACGATCTATTTCAATAAGCAAGTTGAACTTAGTGGGTGGCACAATAGTTATTATGTTTGTGACATTCTATAAATTACAATACACTTTGAAATGGATAGGTTTATACACAATTCAATTGGATAAAGTAAATTAATCGGTAACAAGTATTGATCTATGTTAAATAAAAACATCGGACAATTGAATTTACAGCAAGGGCCAATTTAGGAATTCAATATATTGAAATTTATTTTTAATATAACAAAACACGAATAAAAAATACTCTAAAAAACGTAAAGTAATTTAATTTCATTGAATAAATACAGAATTGCCCAATATAACACTACTGCCATTATTATTTAAAATATTTTATGTGCCAGGATTGCAACATTTATAAACCAGGTACGAGGGTCAAACTGAAAGTTCTTAGAACTGGCCACTTATAAACAATATAATAAAAAAATAATTCTAAAATTTGAAAATATAACTCTTTGCCAATATTACTGAGTATATATTTCATTCATTTGTCATTTGTCTTACGATTTGGCGGCAAATTGAAAATTGTCTGTGTCACGTCATCATGAATTTAACACGAGAAAATTTTCGTGCAATGATTTTTTATGACTTTCGATGTCATTTAAGTCAACAAGAAAGTTATGATAGACTACGATTGGCCTTTCACGATGAAGCCCCATCTCGTGCGACTGTTTACAACTGGTTTAATGAGTTTAAACGTGGTCGCACTAATCTCACTGATGATTTACGTGAGGGACGGCCTTCTACGGCGACGACTGAAGATAACATCTGTGTTGTGCGGCGTATGATAGAGACTGACAAAAGAGTGACCTGTCTACAGATTCGGACAAGTTTAGGCATCGGTATGAGTCAAGTGCACAAAATCCTCCACGAACATTTAGCGGTCAGGAAGCTTTGCGCCCGGTGGATACCTCATAATTTGACTGAGGCTCAAAAACTCCATCGTGTGGATTGGTGTCGTAAAATGATTGAAAGATTTAACGGAGGTGACTCAAATGCTGTGTTCGACATACTAACAGGTGACGAAAGCTGGATTTACTGTTATGATCCTAAAACCAAAAGACAATCTGCTCAGTGGGTGTTTCCTTTCGAGGAGTTGCCAACTAAAGTGAAGAGAGATCGAAGTGCGGGAAAAAAAATGGTGGCCTCGTTCTTTGGAAGGATAGGTCATTTTGCAACAATTGTGTTAGAGGATCAAAAAACAGTTTCTGCAAAATGGTACACTACCAATTGTTTGCCACTTGTCTTGGAAAAAGTTCGAGAGAAACGACCTCGCAGTAGGATCCTCCTTCACCACGACAACGCCTCGTCGCACACCGCCAAGCGAACGATCGACTATTTGGCGACATCAAACGTTGAATTACTGGGTCACCCGCCGTATAGCCCCGACCTCGCGCCTTGTGATTTTTATTTATTTCCAAAAATTAAAGAAAAACTTAAAGGAAAGCGGTTTATGAATGCTGAAGAAGCGGTGGCTGCGTATCGCGATGCCATTGAAGAGACCCCTAAGGACGAGTGGGCAAAGTGCTTTTCCCAGTGGTTCCATCGCATGCAGCGGTGTATTGACGTGAATGGACAATATTTTGAAAAGATATAATAAAACTAATAACTGGCTAATGTAATCAGTTTTTGATTTTCTAAGAACTTTCAGTTTGACCCTCGTATCGTATTTGTAATATACAATATAAAAAAAAATATCTCAAAAATAATGGCTATATAAACATAGCTTTTTATATTTTTTATGTAGTTTTCTAAGTAGTTTTTATTACTAGAAATACCGCGAAGATGCTGACCATAAATAACTATAAACGACCGTTCCAATGTTTTATTTGAAAGTTTGTACCTCCAAATTAGATTTATGTCTTAATGTTTGTGTTTCTGATTTGTAGTGTTAGTAAGGGTTGTAAGCCAATGATCTACGAGTCGGCTCAATAGTAACAACTCATGCTTTTAGCTGGGTTAGTGGGGCAGGCTTATTGTTTTAAACGCATATCTGCCATTTACTGCTATGCTAAAAAGATTACCCGTATTAAAAACATTTTTTTTTTTTCAGATATAAGTAATCTTAAAAATTTATGTAAGGAAAAATGACTATGTTAAATATGCAGCAAAATCGTCGTTTATATAAACGTTATACTATGGCCAAAATTTGATAAATATATTAATACCATAAAGAGGAAAGATTTGGATGTTGGTTTGTTTGCAATGAATACACTCCGAAATTTTTAAAAATACTTTCATGAAATATAAATAATAACTTTCACTAAGTATAAATATTATAACATCACATAGGTGCGTTGCACAGTTTCCAAATAAATTGCTATATAATGCATTGGTAGAAGTGGAAACCGTATGAAAATCCGTTTTAGAATTTACCGAGTTCAAAATTAAATGAACGGCGATTTTTTTTTTTAT